TGTCGGAGACTCCCAAATGACACCTAGCCAATCTAGGAGACACCACTCTCCAAGAAGTAACAAATGGTGTGTTGATGATGAACTCCTTGCTCTTGTGCTTCAAATGATAGTCTCCCCAACACTCAACTTTCTCTCACAGGATTTGGATTTGGTGGAAAGAAGATTTGAGTGGAAAGCAACTTGGGGAAGGCTAGAGATCAAGATTCATATGGTAGGAATGGAATATCTTGGCCTCAACACATGAGTAGGTGGTTCTCTCTCAGAACATATGAGTTGGAAGTGTAGATGTGTTCTGATGGCTCTCTCCACGAGTGAAGAGGAGGTGGAGGGGTATATATAGCCTCCACACAAAATCGAACCGTTACACACAATTTACCAATCTCGGTGGGACCGAATCAACAAACTCGGTCGGACCGAAATAGTAAACCTAGTGACCGTTAGAGATTTTCGGTGGGACTGACATGCAACTCGGTAGGACCGATATGGTTAGGGTTAGGGCATAATGTAATCTCGGTGAGACCGATTACACAAACTCGGTGAGACCGATTTTGGTAATAAGCTAACCAGAGAGTTGGTCAGGTAAACTCGGTGGGACCGATTCGCTCTTCTCGGTGAGACCGAAATGTTACGAAAAGGAAACAGTGAGTTTACATTGCAATCTCGTGGGACCGATCCGCTCTTTCAGTGAGACCGAAAAGTTACGAAAAGGAAACAGAGAAATTGCAATCCCATCTCGGTGAGACCGAGATCCCTATCGGTAGAACCGATTTGCTTAGGGTTTGGCAATGGCTATGACAAGTGAAACTCGGTGGCGCCGGGTTGAAAGAATCGGTAGGGCCGAGTTTGGCTTTGGGTTTAGGTCAAATGTGAATATGGGAAAGTAGCTGAGGATTTTGGAGCATATCATTAAGCACATGAAGCAAGAGGCTCATTAAGCAACACCTCATCCCTCCTTGATAGTATTGGCTTTTCCTATGGACTCAATGTGATCTTGGACCACTAAAATGTAAAATGAAGAGTCTTGAGCATATGAGCTAGAGCCAATCCTTTGTCCTTAGCATTTTGAGGGTTCCACTTTCACCATCCATGCCATGCCAATCATTGAGCTTTCCTGAAATGATCATCTTGGAATAGCATTAGCTCAATGAGCTATATGTTGTTATGAATTACCAAAACCACCTAGGGATAGTTGCACTTTCAAAAGGTCACGTCAAATACGTACGTTTCGTCCATTACCGATTCTCCACACTACACCCTTCTTGAGGAGCTCTAAGCCATGAACAATAGCTTGCCATGTAGGCGACAGATTTCCAGTGAAACCCGTATCCAGAAGACACCCATTGGGAAAAATACTTCGCTTTAAACAACCTTGCACACAGATTATCTCACCGAGGTCACACACGACATTACCCATTCAACCAATCGATGAGCGAAACCAAACTTTTGCATCATTTGCTTAAGATAATTCCAATCCACCCTATCATAAGCCTTTGAGAGATCTAGCTTATATGCACAATAACTCCTCGTGGGATCCTTCTCTTGCTTAATATGACGAACATATTCAAAAACTACAAAGGCGTTATAAGTGATCATACGTCCGGGAATAAATGCACTTTGAGCAGGAGAAATAATAACATCTAGAATAGGCCGCAAGCGATTCACTAAACATTTTGAAACCACCATGTACACAACATTTCATAGAATTATAGGCCGGAAATCCGTAATTTTCACCGTATTATCAATTTCGGGATCATGACAATAATAGTATCAAGGGGGCATTACTCCAGTGTAAAAGAATTCCTTTACCGCAGAAATTATACCTTCCTTCGTGTAGTCCAATTGCGTTGAAAAAAATCGCGCGGGAATCTGTCTGGCCTTGGCGCCTTCGACGGGCCAATTTGAAAAAGGGCATCTGCGATCTTTTTATCTGAAAACTCTGCACACAAAACATGAGTGAAATGCGCCACTAGTCCACAAACTCAAATTGATTGCACACTTTAGGCCAACAACTCGAGAAGTGATCTGATTTAGTCTACAAACTCGTTGATTTGATCAAATAAAGCCAAAACCGGCCCGAGAGTAAAAAACCGGCCACATGGATGCCATTTGTTTTGGCCTTATTTGATCAGATCAATGAGTTTGTGGACTAAATCCGATCACTTCTTGAGTTGTTGGCCTAAAGTGTACAATCAGTTTGAGTTGATGGACTAGTGGCGCATTTCACTCACAAAACATCATTTGTCTCCTGGTTCACAACTGGAACAAAAACTCAGTAATGAATGAATGATCAAATGGTGGGGTTGGCTGTGAAAATAGTCTCAAAATATTCAGTAGCCGCACCCCCGATCTCTTTGATCCCCGTGTTTACAATACCATTCACATCCTCTAGCTTTTTGATTCTATTCTTCCGAGCACGCCATACTGATCTTGCATGATTTTGTTTTTTGTGTTACGACCCCCTTCCTTCAACCAGTCTATCCGTGACCGTTGCATCCGCATCAGCTCCTCTCTGTACAACAACAGTTCATTCATCTAAATGCGAGTGCTTGCAAGCACTTCTAAAAGTAGTGTGTCGTGGAGGAGAAGATGATGACTTGAATGTGATCATGGAGAGACTCAGAGCCATACTGTTCGTCCATTCCATTTACCTGTCCGAAGAAGCCATCTACGTCTGGTCTTGTCCATCCCACAAGTTTTTTCCCCATGGAAACTGACGTTGTAACAGGGTTCCCCCAAAAATACAGCTTGGTAAGAACATATGCGTTGAGCTCGAGATGCGTAAGCATCGACACTAAAAATACATCGGGTTTGTTATGTCTGATCTGCGTGAGAGAGTGTTATTTCTAAGTCGGTAGAATTGTATGCCGTGAAGCGGAAAATTGTTCATGAAGTGTGCAAGTGTTCGGTTCAGTTGCACATTTTTACCAAACCTAGATTTGCACGCAATCTTCAAAAAGTGCAAGTGGAACTTTCAACTTCCTAATCAGCCATGGAACCACATCTAGGAACTTCGCTCTGAAAATGAAAATTTCTCAGTCGATTTAGAATTAGAAGTCCTATACAAACGGCAGTTTTTTTCTTCCCAAATGATAAGTGCCATAAGTTTTTTTTTTCCAGTGTGAGAGGCATCAATAATTGGATGACATTCCACACACACACACCCCTCACGGGCGACATGGGGCGATCCAACCTCTGCCGCCGGAGATTCTCCCGTGCCCGTCCTCCCCTCCGCCGCCGCAGGTGGTCGGCACCGGGCTAAGCCCCTGCATACGACGCGGTGGCGGAGGGCCTCTCCCCTCTCCCCCGGATCCATGGGTGGCGTGGGCGCCCAGATCCGCAGAGGTGTGGCCCCCATTTTGGCCCACGGTGGAGCGGCGTCCCAGCGGCGGCCCCTGTGGTGGTGCCGGTGGGAATCGGTCGGCTGCACAGGGGGCGTTGGAGGCTAGGGCGGCGACCCCATGGTTGGGTGGCGGCGCGCCCGTTGGTCCGATCGGTTCCGGCCTTCCCCGGATCTGGTGACTACCGGACGGCACGGGGGGTGGCGATGGCCCGGTGTGGCCGGCGATGTGGACGCGGTGGTGCCGGCGGCTCTTCGCTGGTCTGCCGGAGTTCCAGGGGTATCTTCGTCTCCCACTCATTCTGATCTAGTTCGTGCTAGCTCCGGTCTAGGGAGACTATCGTCATCTCCCGGTGCTGGCTGCATGGATCTGGCGGTGGCGGTTGGATCCTTGGTCAAGTATCCGATAGAGAAGGCGGCGATCCGTGCACAAGAAGCTGGATAGAGTTCTTCAAACAAATCTGGGTGAAAACTTGCTCTTGGCTAGATGCCAAAGCCGACAGTGGCGGCGCTCTACAGTGTCGTTCCCTTCTTGAAGGCATCGTCGTGGAGAAGTTCTAGACCACTATCTGCTACCTCCGGGGCAAACCCTAGATCGATAGATCAGAAGACGGCGATGCGCTTGGGTTGTTTCCCCCTTGGGGGCATCATTCTTGAAGGTGTACATGGGCTTGAGGGACCAGTGGACGACGTCTTTGGTCGAGTGGTGCTTCATCATACACATTGATGGTGACAGATCTCGATGGCATGGCGCCCTAAAGATTAGGCGTTTGATGTGCGATGATGGACTCGCGCAGGAGGGTGACGCTGTCTGGCGTCGTGGTGGCATCGACGACAGTTAGACCGGACAAGGTAGATGCAGGACCGGTGGGTGCCCCATACCCGGCAGGCGTCCTGGTTGAGGCCTCAGGTCTTAGATGTTAGGTTTGGCTGTGGTGTCCGTTTGGTATTAGGTCCAGATTATCAGCATCCCTTCATCAACTAAATAGGAGTAGCGATAAATGTTGCCTAGATAATGGCTTCAGTCTTACTATTGTATTACTTTGTAAGGTCTTTTGTGCATAATTAATAAAGTGACTGCATGCATCACCAGATGCAGAGGCCGAAGGTCTTCCTCCTTTTCAAAGAAAAGTGCCATAAGTATTTTTTCTATGAATAAACACGCTCCCCACATTGGCATCATGAATACCACGGTGCAGGGAGATTTCATAATTGATTGATTCGACTCCATGTAAGTTCAAACCTACTCCCTCCGTTAAAGAAATATAAGAGCGTTTAGTGATCTAAACACTTTTATATTTTTTTACAGAGGGAGTACCTGATACAGTTTTAATTTGTAGCTGAAAAAAACAGTAGACAGCAGCATGCACAAAGTATACGACAGTGAGTATGATCATTATTCTGTGGTTTCACTACATATACATGCGCGTCCACCTCGTCACAAACCCCTCGGCGGAGCGCGTTATTACCAGTGTATACATATCAACACGTAAGTGAAATTAATCAAAGTGAAAATGGCCTAGGTCTACCTACGGAACTCAACTCATCCTGTGTGTTCTATCCTGTACTGTACCAACTCATACGGCAACTACAAAAAAAGAGTGTGAGAGCGTGTGATCATGCATCCATGTCAACTTCAAAACAATACAAGGCAATGGCGGGATCAAAGAATGGCGAGGAACAGCGGAGCGATGGCGGCGAAGAGGAAGGTCCTGCTGAAATGCAAGTGGATCGACGAGCCGGACGAAGGCTTGGCTGCGTCGATCTGGGTGATGTTCGGCGAAGGGCGCTTCGCGGCTTCGGGGTTTGAGCTGCCTGGTCCGGAGGCGGGCTTCGGAGGGACGGCCGAGGGGTTCGGGCTCACCGGGAGCTTGCTTGAGTGGTCGACACTGTAGCCTGGTTCATGATGATGATGATGACAAGCACGGTTTGTAAGGGCATTTTTATCGGAAACCGAAACCAAACCTGAAGAACCGATTCGGGGGATGTCGAGTTGAGGTACTTACAGTTGAAAGATTTCCATCCCAAGACTAGCCTCTCGCGGTCGAACACCACCTTGAGCCCGGACATGAAGTTCTCTGCACCGGAAGTGAGCAGAGAGCAGTAAGAACGATGACGTGGATTATCGACGGTGAGGTGGTTTAGGACACATCAAGGGAAAAAGGTAAGTACAACCTTTATGGGCACAATGCTATTAACAAAGATGTTGCACATGGATAGTTAGTGCTGAAATATCTGAGGTTTTATAGCATATAAGAGGACATAAAACCTGACCAATAAAGCTAGCAAAGCAGGTCTGACAATGAGCAAGGCATCTGAAAAGTAGTGGTTATTCATTAATCATTGGTTCTTTGCAACTAACACATGCTACCAACTCCATCCAGGAACTCAAGGCTAGATGGGTTAGAGAGAATCTAATTTGGTTCTTTGCACACCTCAAATATCAGTAGTATGGTTCAGACTGAATCTAATAAAAAAACAGAGCACAAGGCAACTTTAGATAGTGCAGCAGTGTAGAGTATAGGAGCTCACCCCCAATCAAGTTAACACCTTCACTCTTCATAATAGCCAAGCAATAGCCAACAGGGGTCTGTTCCATATAAAAGAGCACCAAGATTAAATTCACTAGCTAGCTTACATGGCTGGATGAAATTAGCATCGATGTTTTCTTACCGAAGAAATATCCGTTATGGTGATTATTGGATCATTGACAGGGAATATACTGCCACCTTTCGCCGTCAGGCTTATGTTTGGATAACTAAGAGCTCCCTTGGCACTGGAGAGAGCAGCAGCATATCCATCAGATACAAACAAGCAGTGGTTTGTAGAAATGTGCCTCACATATCAATATATCATGGACTGTTGCTAGACAAACTTACCTTATGGTGTAGCAATATTCAAATGGCAACGAAGAATCGGCCTGATTTCTCTTCTCTTTGACTTGTTTATGGAACTGAATTAGAACGTCAATGAATATATATGAGAATCACCGTGAAAATATAAAACACGGTGAAACCACTCGTATAATGCGATAAATCTACTTACAGCGCTGGTAATCTCGGTATACATTGGGTCGGAGAGAGCCGTGAACGAGGTACCGGAGTCCACGACTGCGCTGAATTTTGTGCTGAAGGTTTTACCTCCCGCCTTAGCTCCTATGATGCTAATGTTGTAGTATGGACTGCAGAAATAGAGCGCGCGGACGTCGTGAAAGGTCAGAGACCTATATTGTTTGCTTGTGAAACTGTGAGAAATGAAAACAGACATACTTGTGTTTGTAAATGTTCAGCGGAGTTTCCAGCTGGTCGGCGCTTCCCGTGTCCCCGAAGTTGATCCTGCCATGACCATCTTCCCCGAAGCACATGGAGAAGGAATTGGCGGCGACTCCTTGGCTCGCCAGCAGACTCGGCACCGACTTGCTGTCCATGCCGAGCCCGAGCAGGCCGTTCGGCGCGGCGCTGCCTAGAAACGAACCCGTCTGGACCCGTCCACAGCTAACAACGCACACAAATTCAAATTCAAATTTCAGCACAGAAAAATGAGCAGTGACTCGGAATTGCGCATTGTCATGTCTAGTAGTAGATCACAAGGGACATACCCGAATGTTATGGGGGCTTGGGTGATCTTGGACTTCCCGGACTCGGTCGCAAGGTACAGGACATCCTCGACCAGCACCCCGTTGGACGACGTGTTGTCCGACAGATACTCGATCTTGTAGGGGCAGCTGTTGGTTGCAGCACTGCATTGAGTCTGGAGATCACACAGGTCGCTGCTGCAGGGGACCTTCCGGCTGGTGCTCGACTTGCGCGGGCTGTACACATCGAACTTCAGATTCTGCTCAAAATTTTGCGGTTTTTGCCGAAACAAGGTTACATTTCACAGATCAAGCAAGAACATGAAGACATGTAGCATTATTACTGTCAGGAGTGGTCGATTAGGGCATTATGATGATTCAGCTAATGTGTGTAAAGCGTAAACAATCAGCAAGAACTCATTAATTTCAACCTGCACCAGGATTGCAAGAACATAAAGAGAAGGGCCAAGAAGCTAGGGCTTTGGTTAGCAGTAGTAGCAGTAGTGTTTTCTAAGTTCCATAAGGCAGGCCCCAGCCGAGGCTGTCATGCTCCTGCAGAGGCCTCCCCAAAACAGGACGGCACGTGCGGTGCTTCCGTGATTTGCCCCCCTTTTCTTTCCCGAATTATGCTCGCAACAACTCCATCTCACAAGCATGTCGACTAGCAGTAGTACCAACTTTTTTCATCTCTACCGATGTCAAAAAAAAAAAGAAGAACTTTGTTCATCTCTGCCATGCAACTAATCAAATCACACTGTAATCTTCTGGTATTTAACTACTTAGCACCCGGAAATATCTCTTGGAGCAACGGACACGAGGTCGAATCGTAACAAATTGACAAAACAATGGCGTCGAAGCAGGGGGAGGAAGATGAAGGTGGTACTGGTACGTACCCCGTATTCTGGCGAGGTGAGCGGGGCGCACTTGAGGCAGTCGCAGGGCACCCAGAAGAGGTCGCTGCCGGTGTCGAGCGCCACCAGGAACGTCACGTTCGGCGTCCCCAGCGCCACCACCGCGTAGTGCAAGCTGCACACACCCAAAGCCAACCACCACCACCACCGGCTTCTTTAGCACAAAAGCGAGAGGAAAAAGATGGCCAGACAGTCTGGCCGTCTGGGATGGGTGACAGCAACCTCCTCCTAGTTCCTCCGATCGATCGATCGATCGGCCGGCGCTTTATTATCGCTATCAATCTCTCCTCTCTTGGGGATCATTGAGACGGTGAATTGACGAGGATGATGATGATGAGAGGGGCGGGCTTACAATCCGAAGGCGTTGAGGCGGTAGGTGTCGTTGCCGTCGGCGAAGGCGAGCGGCCCGCCGGCTCCTGGCACGGGGGCGGCGGCTGCGGCGGCGAGGGAGAGCGAGCGGCGGCGGAGGTCGTCGTGGCCCGCCAGCGCGGCGTAGTACTCGGCCGTGCCCGGCGCCGGCCCGGTGCGCAGCCCCGCCCACCGCCGCACCGTCGCCGAGTACCGGTGGTGGACGTCCAGGCTAAGCGCCTCCGCCCCCGCCGCCACGAGGGCCAGAAGCAGCAGTGCCCGCACCGCCGCGCCCATGCGGGCAGCAGAGCAGAGCAGGCGAGCTAGGCTCCACGTCTCCACCCCACGGCTTAAAAAGCTCGCGCCTTTATTACAGGGATGGAGGGAGGGAAGGAAAGGAAGGAGAAAATATATGCGTTGGTGGTGCTCGGCCGCGGCGTCGCTATTTAATCAATCTATCTATCCTGCTGCCGGAGACGGGAAGAATGATCGGTGAGGTGAGGTGGCCGCTCGGTCTCCGCGGGAGCGGCGGCGGGGCCGGGGGGCAGCGAGAGAGAGCGACGGGGGGCGTTCGTCAGTGAGCCGGAAGCTTCGCCTCCGTTGGACTGGACCGGCGCCTGTGCTGCTGCCGTGGCCCCTTTTGATTTTCCGTTGGGATGGGAGGGAGAGAGCCGGAGAGGGATGGGGTTTGGTTGGGGATTCTCCCGTGCGGTGCGGAGGGGTGATGTATGGGCTGAAAAGGGGTGTGGACGAGGCCGATCTGATTGATGACGGGGAAGGGTCCTGGGTTCACACCGGTTGCCGGCCCTGCCCGACCTGTGTCGTCGCCCAGTTTATTTATTCAGGTCAGGGGGGCGATGATGATCACGGCGAAGCAAACGTGGTGTAGGTTTTCCACACGGCAGAAGCACGGTCAGGGGTGAGGGGTCAAGGTGCGAGTACACCACGGTCACGGTGGTGCCTTGCCTGCCCAATAAAACGTTGCCGTGGACTTGGACCCTGTCACACATGTCTTTGTTGCCATCTATACTAGACTCTAGAAGCCAAGGGGAGGGGTACCTACGCGCGGCAGAACCCAAGAATAATCACACGACAAACACGAGTCCTTCTGTTTTCGGAGGAGATAAGTATGAAATAAACCTTGAATTCGCACGCTCATTCTGAATCCAACCATAACCTCAAAATCCCTGAATCCATCGGCACCCCGTACATACTCTCTAATCCTGGTCTATTTGTTTGCCGCATAGGGAAAAGAATGATCTTAGACGGGATACCACACTACCCTCAACGGACCCACATACCATCTCCAACTTCTTCCCACATTTTGCTTCTCTTTGTCCTCTCTATCTTTTGTTGTGCATATCCATCATTACAATTACAATATGCTAATTAGTTTGCCAGAAGAAAAGACGAGACGGGGGGATTAGGATTCGGAAGTAGCACAACATGAATGGATCTTGGACATGCATACACTGTAGTTTGGACTCGGGATGTTCGATGCCCCATTGGCAAATTCATTGCACATGAACATAGCACTAATCATGAGCATTGGGCACAATGCCCATGATCTGTGCTATGTTCATGTGCATTGCCCTTTGCTATGATCAAGGACATTGCATACATCGGTTATTACTTCTGCACTGGAACGACGTGTCTAATTGTAGTCTTATGAATTGACAAAGTAATAAAGATGGGGTGGGATCGAGCCGGTCATGGGGGTCCAGGTCGTCCAAGGTAAGGACGAGGCCGAGGACATCATCCCGGAGAGCAAGTGGTTGGCGAAGCTCGACGCGCCAGGAAGGAGGGAGGAGATGGCGAAGCCTATGCCCAACATTGGGCATGAGACAGTAAAACCGATGCCACATCGATTCTACGTGATGATCCGGCACACTAATGGCATAGCCATGTTCGACATCCCCAAGGCTTTTCTCCCGGTGATGAAGACTTGGATATACATCAGGCTTCCACGCGTCGTCAATCTCTCGGTAAATACGGACTGCAACAGGTGGGTCCGGGTCTAAGAGTTCAACGAGCATATCGTATTGGAGAGGGGCTGGTAGTACTTCACCCTAGAGCACAAGATAGTGCTCTGTGACCTCCTCGTCTTCAAGTTGTCGAACCTCGGCTTCAAGGTCCATATCTACAATGCCAACAACTCCACCATCTGCAGGTACATATGCAACAAGCACGACTTCGCTTGTCTTTTTTGCTGATATTGTGCAGGGGCATCCCTATGTTTTGGTCTGAAAATTGTCTATTTTGCTGATGTCCTGAGGGGCATTGGATCCCCCTACTATCTTCGACCCCCCTTTGGATTTGTGCATACTATGTGGTAATGACAGTCTTAATCTGCTGTTTTACTCTCATGTGTTTATATGTTGTGCTCATATGTGTTCATCATGGTCTCTACTTGATGTGCATACTGGTGGTAAGTTCACCGCATTTAAAAGGGGTGAGTAGAACGACACTTGGCACACAACCAAACAGTTGTCTGTTGCATCTAATAATCTCAAAAGCACACATGCAGATGTCCAAGCACGAGACACATAACTGCTCATAGCAATACAACATAGTTTATACCTCATACTCAGCCAGACCCAGTTGAGCCATAGATGCGGGGAGCCGAAACACGGTGTGGTAACCAGACACATCCTTGGTGCGTAGAGTAGAGCCGGGGCTGCGTGAGTACGGGCGAACCTGGCGGCAAGGCGTCGAGGAGTCCATGGACGAACTGTGCGAGCACATCGGTCACACGGGAGCACTTCGAAGTATCAGTCCACCTTGTCTTGCCCGCGCTTCTCGCATTCCTCAGATCGGGCATGCTGCCGCTCAGCTCGCTCGTGCTGGTCACGCACCACATGCTCCAGGGGTATTCCTCGTTGCGTCGAGCGCGCATAGGTGATGGTGCGTAGAACCATTTGTACCAACGGTACGGTGGCGAACGTGGCCGAAAGTAACAGGACGGGGTTCAAACGATGGAGTTACCCAGGTTTGACCCTCACGTCTTGCTTTTGATATGTAATGATGTAATTACCCAGATTTGATCCTCTGAAAAAGATAATGCCCTACATCTTGCTTTTGATATGTACTCAAGGTACACTACATGATAATTATCAGTTTAGAACATGGCAAATCCTTCTACGCAAGTACGGAAATGTACCATCTGTTTTTGCATGACGAATCTGGGCGTTCAATGGGAATCGTTAAAAAATTTGATGCAAGATTTTTAACATTTAGACTAGTCACAATGGGAAGTAACTTAGACTAGTAACATCACATTTTAGTAGGCTATGTTACTACCTTCGTAGTGGGTAGTAACATATGTGCGTTATCATGTTATGGTTCATTTATTAGCCTATAGACTCATATTGTCTTGGTATGTGTGATGTTACAGTAACTACCTAAGTTACCACCATCATCTCTTTCATCATTAAATATGTGTCACATAAGCAAAATTATCTTGAAAAATGTGATGTTATTAGTGATGTTACTTCCACTGTGGCCAGCCTTAGAGGCTGTTCGAAAACCCCCAGCTCCTAAAAATTCTGAGAGTTGTGGAGCTGGTAAACATGTGCTCCATAAATTTCAACTAAGACTCCACCAGCTCCGGAAGTGGAGCTGTGGAGTGAAGTACCTCCGAACAGGGCCTTAATAGAGGAAAGAAAAGGCGGAATCCGATCTTGCGAACCGGGATGATGCTGCTGGATAGGACGGACCCCGACGCGACGACACATGAACCCCGGCGAAACGATGGTTGCCCTTGCCCAGCCTGCGTCGCGTGTAAAAATCCTCCGTCGCCAGCGGCCGTGCCACCTACAGTACGCCCGACCGTGAAAACCGGCGACGACGCTGATACGATATGGTAGCGCCCGTCGGCCACAGGACACTAATCAAGTCGGTGCCCGTGGACGTACAGGCAGGGCACAACGTCACCACGTACCAGCCACGGTCAGATCCTCGGACCTCGGAGGTGACGGCAAAAAGATAGTTATAATACTCCCTCCATTCCAAAATATAGTATGCCCGCGCTTTCCAAGGTCTAACTTTGACCATAAATTTAACCAACGAGACCGACTGCGGCGGGAAAAAAAATGTATAATTGAAAACTTCTTTCGAATACGAATTCACGGATATAACTTTTGCCCCTGCCGCAATCAGTCTTGGTAGTTAAATTTATGATCAAAGTTGAAACGCGAGGATAGAGGAAGCACTACATTGTGAAATGGAGGGAGTATAACCATACCAAAGCTTGTACTGCGGTATGGCTAAACTCGAGCCCTCCTTGTTGTGAGGACTTATTGTTTCAAGATTGTAACCCTATCATTACGGAATAAAACTTTCTTTTCAAAAAAAAGAGGCAGTATTCTTGATGGTTCGGTTCAGGTTCCATCAGCGAACAACTCAGCCCTACCCTTTGCCGATCGAATGAGCGCGCGACAGACTGACAGAGAGAACAAGACCCAAAGCAACCATAAGCCTGAGGTGGCACTAAAAGCTTGAACAGCTGATTGACCGACCATTAGCAACACAGAAAACGAAACTGATTTCCCATCAATCTACGTCCAAAACGAAACAAGAGTATACACTGTTTTCATCTGGGAGCGGGGTTCCATAGAAGAACAAAATACTACTGTCGACCGGTTTACACACACAGGGCTGCTGTCTGTACAATAGCCATCCTTTGGTTCCAAACATATAAAAGGCGATTGCAATGCTTACATTACACCGAAGTGAACATCTCGATGGTCTGGCCGTGATGCGCGACGAGGGGCTCCAGGATGCTGGTCCACGTGCTGAAGTCGATGGGCGACCCGCCTCCGGGCTGGAGGAAGCCGTTCACGAAGAAGAACGGCGCGCCAGCCACCCCTCTCGTGCACCCGTACTGATAAAGAATGCAGCAATGGATCCGTAGATCAGACAGGTTTTATCCAATCGTAGCGACAACAAACGATTCAAGAAAAGATGCTTGAAGCTAGAATTTCTAACAGTGTACTCGATGCGACAAGTAAAGCTGACCTTGAAAGAAACCCTCGCTGCCATGTCCGACCTCATGTCGCTGAAACCCGACTGGAACTCGGAGACTGAATTACCCACCGCCTGGGCCGCCATCTTCGATATCTCGCCGGTCACAGCAGTGCTCGATATTGACGATGTCGCGCGGTTGGAGAATTTTCCCTGCATGTGTGTCAATTTCGACGTGTTGTCAAGAGTTGTATGAGACAGAAAAGGATGGCGGCAAAGTACCCTGAGTGCACAGCCCTAGTGCTCCTGAGGTGGTATTCTGTTTCGCTCGCCTT